GAAAATTAAATAATGTAACCAGGTATCTTAGTGTGTCTCCTAACTATCAGAGGTTCTTTCTTTGTTTAACAACCTCCCTTCTTCACATTCCTCTGTGGCCCTTATCTGATCTTTGTGGTCCGTTAACACTTCTTTGTCCTCTACTATTCTGCATTAAAAGACTGAATTAATGTGTATAATGTGTATAGTATCAATTCTGGAGAGCAGATCATTGTAATAAGCCACACCAACCAAAATATGTCGTTTCCAGATGTTTAATTTGCAACAAACGGCCACGCCTATCTAGGGTTAAGTGCTGTTTCGATGTGAATATGTAATGTAATATTTGTACAACTTACAAACGACATATTTCAAGTGGCAACATCTGTTGATGTGCAACACAAACACCTATACTGTATACTGATGTGAGTCAGTAACATATACAATCTAAGCAACTGTTAATTAATTAATACAGATGTTATGAGGTGAGAACCTCCAGGCTGGTATGGCATAGTTGGTGTCAAACTGATGGAAAATCACTCCTGATTTCACATCTGGTCAGTGGTTATCATGAAATTGTATGTATCAAAAGTTACACCAGTTTAATGAAAATCATCAGTAAAGTGGCATCAGTCTAGTCATAAATACCAAAAGAACTGCCCCAGACACCCCTCCGAAAGCCCGGCAACTAGATGGCCAGCCATTGGTTCAGGTGTTGGATTCCTGGTCATCCCTATTCATGAACTTTAGACCATAAAACCTGGCACCTCAGAGCAAAGCCTGAGAGAAGATCAGCCCCACAGAGTATGCAGCCCGGGAGAAACCCTCCAGAAAACATCAAGAGATCGCCAGACCACCGCGAAGCCCAGTAAAGAAGCCCGTCCTGAAGCCTGCCAATGAAGGCCTGTCACCCAACAGAGAAGAGATCGCCAGACCACCGCGAAGCCCAGTAAAGAAGCCCGTCCTGAAGCCTGCCAATGAAGGCCTGTCACCCAACAGAGAACGGCAACCCCAAGACAAAGCCTTTCACCTTAAAGCTTCACAAGAAGAAAGAATCCAAGGGGCTCCACTCCAACAATCGTTCCAAACGCCGCACCTTCTTGAGTGCCACCATTCCCTCAGCTCATCACCTCTGCAACCAATTACCAAGACCCCCCCCACTTTGCAACCAAGTAAACCAACTTCCATTCATTCTAACAAACTAAGCTGTTCTGTTAAATCTGCTTTATGACTTTAAGGTCGTGTTTTCACAAACTGTGCTTGCTTTGCAGAACAGTATTTCCCTTTTAACATTACCCATTTAAATCTGGTCACTGCACTTTCATATTCCATTATTTTGTGTTTGTTGTGTATGTTAAGTCTAATGTCTGTCTTATGTTAGTATAGTGTTAGAAATAAATGCATGCCTTTTATACAACTTCAGCCTCCGTTTATTGAGTGCTCACAATAATCCCTGCCTCTCTGCGATTTGGCTACTAAGCTCTGAAACCTCAAGCTCGTCTGAAATATCGCGAGACTCTCTCTCAACGACCGTGAGAAGAGCTTCGCTACCAGTCGTTTACATTACATGGTGATGCAGCTCGCTGGACGAGCATTCTAACCCAGGTTGCTAAGCGATACTGGTAATTAGTGAATCCCATTTAAATCTCACATTAAC